ACAGGCTGCTGCGTGCTGAGAACTTGGCATTACAGCCTGAAAAACATACACGGGACAAATGTTTTCCTTACCTGTTTAGAAAATGTGAAACTACTTTATTTAACTGCACTGCATTTAACGGTATGAAAGAATAAATAATAACTTCTCTGTGTTCCTTTGTAACTGATAGTCTTGTTTGATAAAAAAAAACAAACATGTATAAGCCATGTTCCTGCTCCTGTGTTTTGGTACCTGTACGTACCTTCTGCATGGCACTGGAAGGGTTTGGTGCCCAGATGGGTGATACTGTGACCCTTGAGGTGCTCTGCGCGGGTGAAGGATTTCCCACAACCCTCCTCTGTGCAGACAAAGCGACGATCATCATCATGTTTCCTGACAAACGCAGAAGGAGACTGTGTCAAGTGACACCCTTTTCACACACAGACTCTCCCTACATCATACAGACCACATGAGAGAAAAAAACAAACTCCAATTTTGATGGAACTATATCAAGAGCTAAAATAACACTTCATATGGCAATGGGAACCAAAATCATGACAACCTAGTACAATTCGGTAGTAAAGCAAAACTGCAGCTGCAAGGTGAAGTTTACTAAAACACAAAGAGACGTTAACAGGAAACATGCAGTGTCAAAACATACAAGAACTACACTACACTAAAACTAAGCTGACTGTATGCCATGGCCTAGTTCTACAAAACCTGTTGTATTTAATGCAGAATCTAGTGTGTGAACCACAAAACCTGAAGCCCTGAGTAATGTCAAAAGGTGAAATGTCTAAAGTCGAGAGCCTGCTGGTGCACATGTTTATGTTGCGGGGGAAGCTCTTACCGTTTATGTCGGAGCAACTTAGACATGCTGGTGAAGGACCAGCCACAGCCCTCCGAGTCACAGACAAACGGCCTCTCACCTGCAAACAAGAAATTCGAAGTTTATTTACCGCTGAACAGGATGTATGACCTGTATCAGCAAGATGGATTAGTTGGTGCAGAGCTAACCATAGGCCTAACCCAGGCTTCCTGCTATCACAAAACTGGCACACTTTTATCCAGTGCAACCTATGCTGCACGGCTAACCTGCTCCAGAGTGAGTTCAGTTCAGAGGATATAGTCCCGACATATTCTTCCAGTGACCGGTTTGTAATCATAATGTTTTGCGAATATGCAGCATTAACAGCTTCTCTCTTCTGAAATGAGCAAACAGAGAGCAACACATTCACAGCATCATGTGACTGAGGAATGACTTGTTCTTTGAGAAAACAGCCTCAAACCTCTCTGCGACCCTCAATACTCACTCCATACTAAATTGCAGAATTGAAATAAGGTTCTATCAGAGCACTTGTTGCCTGCCCTTTTATCTTTAGATTGAGCTAAATAGCAGTAGAGCCCTGAACCACTGAGGGTTATGTTTTAGCAATATTACTGACCCTCTAATCTAGCATCATCTTACCCGTATGACTTCTCATATGGATTTTGAGACGGCAGGCTTTGTCATACGTCTTGTCGCAGCCTGGGTAGGTGCAGGTGAAGTGACCCGTTTCCCTGAAGTGAGTGCGATTGTGGGAGAACAGGGCACTGAAGGTGATGAAGGTTTTCTCGCAGCCTGCACAGGACAGAAGCGAACACGTAAGAAGGAAGGATTGACTGAAAAGTGCATTTTGTACCAGGAATATATTAGCACATAAGACTGTTAAATTTTACATCTAGCTTACTGCAACAAAATGATTTTACAGGGAAACTTTTCTGAGATAAAAGGAAAATGTTTAAGAGAAATCAAATGAGCTTCCCAAACAGCCACCAGAGTCCACCGCCTAGAGAAAATGAGGCTCCTTAATATAAAATGCTTTGAGATGAGAGATAGAGATGGTGAGTGTGATTTGTACAGTTAATTTCAATAACCCTACACATTAGCTGCCCCAAATGCTTTGTGCAGCTTTGTGGTCATTTGCTTCATATTCAATGTAACCAGTGTGCAGTTGTACAATACCAGACCATCAGGCAACAGCAGGTGGAGTAAATGTATATGTGAAAAGAGGAAGTTGTAAAATGAAACAAACAGTCAGCTTATGTTACCTGGGAATTCACACTTGTGGGGCCTCTGCGGCTCAAAGTGGACCCTCTGGTGATTGGTGAGTCGTGTAGCACTGCGAAACCTCTCGCTGCAGATCTCGCAGATGAAGGCGTTATCCTGCTCATGTACTTTGACGTGAGCCTTGAGGTTGTAGACTGTGGTGAAACGCCGCCCGCAGCCTTCAAACTGACAGGTGTGTGGCCGCTGCTTGTCATGGGACTGAAGATGGCGTTTTAGCTTATAAGATGTGGCAAAAGCCCAGCCGCAGCCTTCTATAGTGCACTGGTAGGGGCGCGGGTCCTCCGCATGGTTCAGAAGGTGAACCTTGAGTTTCTGACGTGTGTCAAATGTACAGGAGCAGGCCGGTTCTGGGCAGCCAAAAGAGGCCACAGTCTCTTTCTTGGACCTGATTAGCGGTACAGAATGAAAGTCCCCACTATCACAGTCTGCCACAGTGGCTTTGGGGTGTGGGGTGACCAGATCCGCCTCCGTTACAGCACACAGCGCCCCAGCCTCCTGCTTGATAATGGGACAGGAATCCAGAGAAGTGCCAAGCTCTGATAATGAGCAGTCATCCACCAGAGCCAGCTCAGAGTCACTCACAGACAAACCAGGCCTGGGCTCTTCCTGCTGGCTGTTGTTGGATACTGCCAGCGTGCTGATCTTCCCGATGGATTTAGTGCCACCATCATAGTTGAGAAGAACAATATCCTCGTGGTCTTTCATGCCTAGGTGCTCCTTTAAACTGACCATGTCATCCTCTTTGTGTACATACCCCTCTGGTGGAGCAGCGAGTGTCAGTATCCCGTTTTCTATGGTTACTATGATGCTTTGGTTGTTGATCGTGATAGTTCCGGAAAAGGTTTCACCAGCAGGCGGACTTGTGGAGGCCGTGGACGGGTTTGCACTGTCCTGCAGTCCGGTTGAATTTGAAATGAAGTCCGAGGTGTCCATGGCTTCCACGATGCCCGAGTTCCCTGCAATCAAGGCACTGCTCTCGTCAATACGGGAGTGCGACGAAAGCTCCCGCACCAGTTTACTTTCATTGTTTTCGGTGCAAATCTGGCCACAAATCTTATCGCCATATTTGTTTGTCAAAACAACGTCTTCGACAATGTGGTGATAAACAGTCTGTTTAGCATTAGCCAAGGCAGAGTTGTCGTTAAGTAAACTGAAAACGTGCTCAGTTTTTTTCAAGATCTGGCTATCAAGACAGTTCAAGTTGTCATTAGATCCACAGAGAATAACGTCACTGCTGTTTCCGACCTCCATGGAGCAGCCGGGGCTTGCTTTAGAGCACTCTGGCTTTTTACCTTTCATTTTATCGCCGTTCTCAGGTGATACATCCGGTCGCTGTTGGCGTGCCTCGCAGCTGCCATCCTCTTGAACGACATTACAAACCACATACAGTTCCTGGGCGGTTTTGTCTGCTCTGTTCGCCCTAGTGAAGCTCCCCGGTGCAGCAGCTATGTGGTTGGCCAGCGAGGGCTGCTTGAAGGCGCCGTCCTCACGCTGCTGCCGTAAAACTGGAAACGGTAACGTTAAGTGCCGCTGCGGGATCTGTTCCTCTTCCTCTTCGAACAGCGGCAGCGCCATTTGCATTACAGAATCCCCGCTTTCTATCCCGTATTTCCAGGCAGTTCTAACAAAGTCATGCGAACCAAGCAGTGCGTTGAGCTCATTGTCTTTCTCCGTGTTCACGTTATAAAGTCCGACACTCGGTCTACTAACCGGTAAACTGGTTTTATCGGTTGCTTTTGGCTTGCTGACAGGCGAACAGGCAGCCCCGCTTCCATTTTCTGCCAGTAGGTGAAACGGTGATGTCCTCGGCCTAGTGTTGTTGTTGTTGTCACTCTGTGGCTCAGGGGACTCCAATAGGCCGTCCGTTTCACTTTCAGTGGAAATAAAATGATGTGTTGACCCTGTCGCTGATCGAAGTGTAGACGAAGCGGTTCTGTGTGCGGCGCCATGTTGAGAGTGAATGTTTTGGGCACCAGAAAGCCCCTGGATTTCCATCTTGGTATCCCTGTAGCAGCGACACAGAAAAGGCCCGCCCTAGTAAATGGAGGCGATCCGGAGATCCACTACACAGTTTATAACAGTTCAGGTGCTGCGTTCAAGATCAATATGGAAATCCTGCAGCCAGGGATGAAGCGGCCAAACTCGGCGATGTACAGAAAGTTGTGTTTGCCTATTTATCTACCCAAAGCCTTGTGAATTAAGAAGTTTCAGTTTGAAGTTCGGCGATACGACTTTTAATGTTAGTTATTTAAGACACCCAAGTTTGACACTTGCATGTAAGGCATCTGATGCCTAAACTAACAGACTCTAAAGACTGTATGGTAACGTTAGGTGTGTCAAACCTTGAGGCCGGAGCTACTAGGAGTGCTTGAAGGTAGCAACAGCATCATTGACTTTAGTTAAACTGTGGAGTGGACTTTCTAGGAGTGGATCAGCGTTGGATTTGTCAATACCAATGGCCAGTTATCAATTTATCGGTGTGATCCATTCTACTAATGATGCTTTAACTGTTAATTGTAATTTGAAGCCAAAACTCTTTTGATGACTTCAAAAAATCAACTATTCCAGTCACAGGCGGTGTTTTTTCATTGTATTTCCTCTGAGTGGCAGTGCAGTACTATAAAACAAACCAAAAAAAAAAACTCAGAAGAAACATCATAGATTGTCTTCTCCACGATTAAACCTTTTTTCTGTACAGTCTACATATTAACCTCAGGCACCCTCAGGTTAAGGAAATTCATTGAAGACTCTGCTATTACAATTGAACTTCTGATTGTGATGTTTTCATGGTAGAAGCTTGTAGTAGAAAATGAAACATACAATATGTACAATACTGGTAAAATCACTTTTACTCTGCTGTAATGTAATGTAATATGATCTATGGGACTATATAAAAGTTATTTTTAAAGCTTTTTTTTTTAAGCCAGACTGTCTCCATAGTTTTGTATTTTCTTTGGACCCTTCCCTTGAAACAAAACTGCAACCTAGTCCCAGCTATATCTCAAAAAGTAGCAAATAAAACTGGCATAATAATTTTTACAATAGAGATAAGTTAAATTTGCAATTTTATGGAAAACACAACAAACTGATGAATTAGCCATTTTTGAAGAGATCAAAAGGATGAACAGTAATTATAATATTGGCCAGTGACACTTTTTAACTTTCTCAGGTGCAGGCTAAAGTAAAAATTAAGAAAAAAGTAAAACCTGGAAACACAGACAGGAAATGGCCCTCTGCACATACTAAAGCCATCATTTCCAATAGTGTGATCCCTTTCCTCCACTAATCCTGCAAGCGAAGGCTAAAATGTAAATGTGAGGTGACTGAAAATTTCCCTAATAATTTTTGTACGGTCCCTAACAAAACCCCATTAATTACTGTCAAAATAGCAACAGACTGCACTGCTGGGCACAGACTAGAGATGAGCCTTAAATAATATCTTTATTTGGTTAGACAGACAAACCTATAACTAAATTCTGACCAACACAAATGGAGACAAAGATAGCAGACATACATTTAGAGTATCAGAGAGGAACAAAATGGAAGGAAGGAAGACTGTTCACAAAATATTCTGTAAATCACTTTAGACATATTTACATTTTACCTACATGTAGGCTGTACGCAGCACACTAGACAGGGGAGAAGCAGTGAGCAGTGTATTGTTTGTCAGTGTAATGAACTAATACTGTACACACTGTATAGAAAGCTCATCATGCTTCATACAAAAATATCCAATAAGTTATGTGACTTTGGGTTGGTGTACTTGATCATAATACACATACATGCATGTTTTAAACACAGTGTGATACAAATCTATCCTACTATTCATGTATCTCTTATATGTTTTAGAGTATTACATTGGCAGTTCCTTCAAGTATACCATACACAAAAACAGTAGAAGTAGAAAGAACGCTCCTGCACATTACACAAGTCAACACGTAGGAATTTTGTATGAATTCATTTTCAGATATGAATAAAGATACAGATTTTCTGAACAAGTACAATCATTGGCAGCATATCAGCCAAATAAGCATGCAAAATAACATGGATTTCTTGTTTTGTCATATAAAAATAGAGTCCTGCCTCACACATACTTGTAGGATTATGACAGAAATAAGGCCACATATCCATTTCCTTTCTGATACAATATGACACATGCTTAATAATCCAGATGACTCCATTCATTATTATTATTATCTTTACAGACTTCCCCCACTTGCCAATGCTTTTAGGTTGAACCATTCATCTTTAGTTGTTAACTAAGCTTACAGCAAGTGTCAAAGGTCAGAGACAAAAGAGTTTGACCGAACTGCACAGTATCTGTTTTTAGGAGTGTACATGAGGACAAGAGCACAACTTGCCATAGTAAAACTAATCTGGGATTTCAACTCAAGAACTAGCTCATTTTAGCTTGAATCATTCATGCACCCAAGGCATAAGAAATGAAACAAAAATAAAAGGTGTAAACCTGAAAAAAGTCAACATTCATTGCAAATCAGCCTGTTTATACAGCAGCTGATGAGCCCTGACTGACAGCCACAGGAAATGTGCAGCCATAGATCAAACACTAGAAGTGATGAGGGAAAACTGCATAAATTTCCAAAAGTAGTCAGCACATTGCAACTTCCTCAGGGATTTTGACATAGGACTACATACCAAAACTCGCTCTCCCTTCACTCTTTTCTTGGTGTCTTCTTTTCAGTCAAAGATGAAGAAAAGTAAAGGGGACCCTGGCACTTTCACACATTCTCTGCTACATCTGAGTATCCTGGCCTGTGAAATGCACACTGACCAACTCTATTCATTTTAAACAGATACACGCTCCAGACAGCTGGAGAACCAGAGGCACCCACCTTATGAATGATTCATCCCAAATGACAGCCCCAATTTAGAGAAAGAGGGGGTACAGCGGAGCACACAGAAATGGTTATATTCAGTTTTGCAACAGGGGCTGAAATAATCTGTTACTTCTGATATTACATTATATGTGGCTGGAGGAAGTGGAGTGCTGGAGTGGAGGATATTTCACTCTGTTCTCCACCCCGAACCAATTTCATGGCCTTATATATTTTCTGCTTTCAGAAGGTGCTTGTAAGCACCTCCCTTCATGTCCAGTTGTGATTAGTTCAGACTTTCCAACGCTCTGTCTCTGAATGTTGACCTTGAAATGTAGGGTATTCACCACCCCTGTACATAAAACCATATTAGAATTTCATGTTAAGCATACAGCAATTTACAGCATACATTTTCATGAAGCAATAAAAAGAACCAGTGTCCACTGGCTCCCAGATGCCACAACCAGGACAGGATTTAATTTCTGCTTCTCTATTTTCAGGTCCCCTGTGTTACTGTCAAGCCTTTAAAATGCCCTGAGAATAAACAAAAAAGGAAAGGACATCATCCTCAATGCTGTCTTTCTTCACAACTGATACCAATCAATTGCCCGGCTACCTCATTTATTACTCTATTACAGCAAGACACTCCTATCACTGTGAGCGGGAACAGTGTCACAGAAACTTCAGTGGGGCGGACAGAGCTGTAGACTCGACTTCTGCAGAAGCTGTGTTGGCAAAAAAGTCCGTAGTGGTTTTTGTCACTTGTTTGAAATGTCAGAATTGATGACTGGGGAAAAAGTGCTAAACTACAGTTGAAGCCTTTGATTTAAAAGCAGTTTGTTGGTAATTGCGTAGCATGGTGCACTTGCAGAAGATGTATCATGATAGGTGCTGAAAAACATCAGAACCAGAAATGTGAAAAAGATCAAAAGTGCTTTTTTATACACTTCCACTCCAGATCCTTTTGGAGGAATCATCCCCACCAACACTGGATTCTCTTCTGGTAGGTGTCACTTTCAATTTACTGTGTAAATGTTCAAAATCCTGACTCAGATACTGTCAACCAACCCGAAAAAACCATGCAACACACAAACATACTGTACACACAGACACAAACACACATATCCCTTTGCCTAAATCTCCAGTTATCATACTGCTTCTATCGCTGCTCTCATTTCAGGCATGCATGTTGCGTGCTTTGGGAGCAGGAGTGGTGGTTGTGGTGGTGGTGGACATTGAGGGGGAGTCGGAGGTGGCAGGCAGAGGGGGCCGGGGATCAATCCCCCGGCTCTTCATGAAGGACAGCAGCTGGTCAGGAATCTCTGCCAGGACATCCTTAGCCAGTCGGGCCATGCTCAGGACCTGGTTCCCTGACCGGTCGATGTAGTCCCGGAAAGGAACAAACTGAATGAGAACAGGAAAAAAATGGAAGATGATGATGACAAAATTGCCTTAATCAGCTAATAAAAGCACGGCAGAGGCAGCCTTTGCTGTGTTTCACCCCTTTCAAATGGGCCCAAAGGGCCCTGACGGACCTGAAGAATTGACTTTAAAATAAACTTCTTATTTGACTCAATGTGTAGAGGAAGAGGGGCTGCTGCAACCCCCTCAGCACCTCTAACACCACCAACTGATAAAAAGTGAGACAGACTCGAAGCAGAGAGAGAGAGAGAGAGAGAGAGAGAGCTCGTGTGGAAAATCGAGTGTTCTATACTGTGTTCAAAAAACAACAACAGAAAGACCAATCTACTGTTGTAATACTGTTTAAAATAATATAGGAATACTACAAAGATGTAGATACACAGTATTGCTATTGAAATATTTTAGGGCTACTATAGCTAATAAAACAACACTACAGAAGAAAATGTATCAATACCATCGCTGGCGAAAAATATAATAAAACATTACAAACTTACTATAGTATACTATAGAATTATTATAGTATACTATAGTAATACTAAGGTTAATTTTAATAATGGTGGGGTTGGTTGGCACACTTTTCAGTCTCTGCCGTTTTTATCTGGCATCGTTTATGTCTGTCATAATTAAATAGGTTTATGTACACAAATGTTTTCTAAAATTAGGTGATTAAAGTCATGTTGTGCATTTGTGCACACAATTATTTCTGGTCCTTTAAAGGTCATAGAAACAAAAATGTTTGCACATGTAAGCAAGAATGTTCAGATATATACTATATTACAATTATAATAATTAAAATACAAAAAGGTCCCTGAACATCCTACTACAAGTAAAAAGAACTAACCTTTAATTTGTGCATGCAAGATAGAGGACATTTTGATCAGAAATAATGTCAATTACGGTTGATGACAGCCTCATTCAGCTGAAAATAAATTGTTTCTCTTTAAACAAAGTTTAACTTTTTGACTTACTCCAGTAATATATCAATAATAGGATCAGAATTCACAAAAGCTCCAGCTTACTATGCAGTTTAGTTTCCGTTTTTGAGGACATAAAACTGCCATGCTGCAGGATCCATTTTTTTCTGACATGCCTGTGCTGTACAGGCTGGAATTGAACAAAATCAAACCCATGTAAATTTTCGCTGGTCACACTGAGAAACATCAGATGTGTGACTCCTGCGGGTTAAAGGGCAGGCTGTATGTCGAATATACCCTACCTGGACAATGTCTCTTTCAGCAAAGCGTCCCCTGGAGGACACTCTGACCTCATCACCATCTAGCTCCTCCATAGCTGTAGACAACAAACACATATGCAGTACCTGTTAGGTAGAGCCATAACATAGTGTACATTCTATGTGTACTTTTCTGAACAAATTAGACACATGGCTATTTATAGGACAGTTACAGGGGGAACGTTCTTACTTTTCAAAGTAATGCAAATACAAAATAAAAATCTAACAAAGCATATGGTCAGATTAGTTTGTCAGTTTTAACAAATCAGAGTATCAGAGTATTTTTTTGTATTCTATGCTTTCTATCCTGGCATGTGAACTGTGTTTTATTGTGAGCACTGTCTAGGATGTTCATTTCAAATCCCTGTCATTGGTCCATTGCTCGTATTGTAATTTCAGACTATAAGTAAGAAGGTATGAAGATCTTGTCCACAGCTACTGTGGTACATTATCCTATCCTCTTCCTTTTTTTTTTTACTGTTGCAAATTAAGTCTCAGTTTTCAGTCATTAGTAGAATTCATTATAAATCAACAAAAACATTAGCTGTCTGGCTAACTTAACTCACTTCCAGTGTAAACAGAGTTAATTATGTCTCACAGGAAAAACTTCAGCCACTCAAAGTACACTCATTTTTGTTGAATTTATTTCTCTATTAAATATCCTCTATATATCAAACACTAACTGAAATAAACCTCCACACTTGTAGACAATACAAATTCTTTGTCTATTTTTACGATAATACTGATAACAAACATCACTATAATGTGTTAGAATGCACAGAACTGATTTCGGTTGTCTTATCTTGGGTAAGGTGACCAAAGGAGCAAACACTGAAATGGTGGTCTGCATTATAAGCATTCTTCTTCATACTTTCGCCTCGACATGGTGTCCATGATGTTGCAAACTAAGACCAGAGGCAACACAAGCGCAGAGCCAGCTGCTGCCAAGCTATGCAACAGTCCTCAGGGACTAACTAACTAAAGAGTTCAGACCAAAGACAGGTTGGTGGTTCGTCTGCACCACATCTGTTCCCTGCTGCTCTCTGAGCGGAGGAAGAAACAATGACTTATTCTGTAAACCAACCTCATTAATGCTTATATAGGCCACAGGAAAGAAGAGAAGATGACTGGTGTTCTGCATGACGCTATTTATAGTTTCTTATCAACAAAGCAAATCAGACGAGCAAGTGACAAAGAATATGTTGCATTCTCAAGAGGGATCTTTTCATATTTGAATTTAACGGGAACAGGGAAGGAAAAGATGCTGATGGGAGAGTGCTGATGCTCCAAATGGCACACAGGGATGGCAGATGGTGGTCGGGAGCAGCAGGGGGAAAGAGGAGAAGAAATCATTTGACATGTCTGAGAGGGAATGGTGAAACAGAGAGTGACAGAGAGAAAAGATAGAGAAAAGTGAGAACAGAAATCAATTCGGACAAAAGGTGTGAAGGGGTGTTGGGGTAAAAAGTTACTGAAGCTAGGTTTATGCTCGACGCAGTGTCCCCAGTGCGAGGGTGTGTGCTCCAAAAATGACACCATGATGCATCTTGCATCGAGCGTGAAGGCAATTTTTCATTTCAAGATGGAAGCGTTAGAGGTAGTTACTGGATGTGCTGTAATTTCTATGAGTATGTGGGATGGGAAAGATAACTTATCTTCCGTCCCATTGTTACATTATCATCATTATATCATTTGTTAAACATCAGTCTGTAATTGTAAGATTAGAGTGATAGTTTGGTGTCATCAGCACCCATTCTCCAAGACATTACAATGGACTGTTTTTGTATTAAGACTATGTTTCCCATAAACCCTGTTGTTTGTCTTCTCGTCCCTGAAGGGGTTACACATGTTGAAGGTTGGTATAGATCAAGCCTTGGCTCTTTAACAAACTTTACTTTTAATTGTTCATTAAGGTTGTTGACAAAACAATCACACAGGCATTTAGCAGATTGTTTTGCCAACCACTGCTTCCAAGATCAAGGATGAACTTTCTTTCTCAAGTTCATTAAAACTCAGCCACTTCTCAACTAAAAACAATTAAAATAATAAAATAAAATGAATATAGAGACTGTGACATTTGACACAATTTTACATTTTTGAAAAGGAATACATTTTTGCAGATGAGTTAGCACGTTCACAAATAAATCTAAAACAGGCTGCTCAGAAATGAACAAAAATATCATAGCAATTCATCCAGTAGATGCTCAGGTATTTCACTAAAACCACAAACGTCAACCTCATTGCGGCCTAGAGGAAAAGTAAAGGGATCACCAGAGTCATTCCTATATATTGGCTTGAAGCTATTAACGTCTGGACAGAATGTCATGGTATCCCACACAATAGTTGACAGGCTGGACCAACAGATAGGCTGAGAGAGAAGCTGATATCTATAGAAACTCTAAATATTGTTTGTTTACTTATACTGGCTGCAATCTCACAATCTTTAATCACACATTGTGGAAAGGAATCGTGACACTGTGTAATTCTATTGATCTTACACGTTGTGTTAACTCACACTACACATTTTAATCTGCCTTTCTGCACTGCCACAACCTGCAATTTTTATGCCCACACTGTACAGATCAATTCACTGGTCCATTATGTCCAGTGACAACTCAGATTACTTTTTTTCAAGCATTGCTGTGTCCTTGATGATGACAAAAAATGAGGACACAATAGTGTATTGAAATACATACAACTTCAGGTCCCAAATTTATAATTTAATGTTTTAAGGCTTAGTAATTATCTAAAACAGCTTGACACTGCAGTTTTCTACAAACGTTATTTAAACAGATTAATACACATTTAGTGCTATAGTGAGTATTTACAGTGTCAAAATAAACTAGAGGAACATGTCACTCAATGGAGGGTCTCATTGATGAGTTTAAGGCAACAATGGAGCTCTATGTCACTTTGCTTTTTTGACGGGATTTGTTAATAAAAATGACACATTGTCATCAGCCATAGTCTTTAATGTAATGAATTTAAATCACAAGTGTGCAATGCAGCACACAGAACCTATATTTCCTGGCTCCTTAAACTGCATTTTACCTGATACAGGAAGAGGAAGACCTCTAAAGGAAATGCTAAGTCACTGAGACAAAATATGTTGTTTACTGAATGTATTTCTGAATGTTTAGTACTGCCATTCAAAATATACAGAAAGTACAATGTAATGGATTTATAAATGGTATTCTTTCAAAATATGTGTGTCTGCAGATGTATGCTTATTGTTATTGTTTGGTGCTTAATGTGTAACATTCCTCCATTGAAATTCCCCACAGGGAGCTGATTTTATCTTCAAACATTTATTTGAATGAAAGCTACACATATACAAACACGTTTGTGTCCTCGTTTGTTCATTTTAAAGCATATCTTTCAAATTTATCCTAAAATATATGTGAAATATATTTTTAGCAGTGCGGGTAGACAAACAATTGAGCTTGAGGGAACAGATAGACGGAAAGATGCAACGGGTGATGAAACAAGTAAGATCAGAATCTGTCATAAAAAAGGCTGATCCCCACATCGTGCTCCCTGAGAGGCTTGGCTCTGACTGGGGGGGTGAGTGATGTGTGGAGGTCTACTCAACCAGGGAGCAGACCTGGGCAAAACAGACGCTGAATACATTTTGAGCGCAAAAATCACAAGAGGAGAACTGATTTATCCTCTTTTGCAAGCGATGTGTCTGCTTTTGAAGCTTTTCAAGCATCACCGAGGGTAAATCAGACAAACATCAAGAAGTTCTGTGTGTTGTGTGAGAATCTGCAGAAGGTTTTGGAGGGCCCTGACTGGCACTGATAGAAGGCAAGTTAAAAGATTATGATCAAGATGATTCACCAAACCACAGCAATTGAAGCTCTGCTCTTTAAGTCACTTTAATTTCTCTCATTGGTCTTGCCTGATTTAAGTGGTCCTCTTTCTACACAGAACTCAGTGATTAAATGACCAACTCTGTACACACCATCCTGTGCTTCTCCTCCGGCCATGCTATTTCAGTTCCATCATCTCTGCTCTAATTTCCCTTTCTCAATTAATCGTTCACCCTTGACCCCAGCCTTAGCCCTGCACACTGAATAATAGGTCCCAAAGAGGGCTATCCTTTCATTCAGCTCTATGTTCCTGCTTTACATTTCTTCATCGGGTGATTTAACTCAAAGCATTTTGCCAATTAACTTTTAAAAAGACACCCATTCATTTCAATAGTGCAAATGATGAAGAGTCTCTTTTTTTATTCAGCTGTTATGTATAGCAGACTAAACTGTACAGTATGTTAAGAGCTGATCGCTGTCCTGCTGGGAGGAACTCATCAGCTGTCCATTTTTAGAGCTCTCTGTCTCTGGAAAAATAACTGAGGTCATCCATTAGACCCTACAATATAAAATTATTTTAGAAAAAGCACAATGTAATGTGACATGAAATGCTGAAGTAGAGTTTTAAGATGTAATTGGGCCCTAATGATCTCTTTGTGGAAATGGGATTCATGCAGCAGCAAAAAGGTTCAATTAAATACAAATAGTTTGGACTGAGGATTAAAGCTGAACATAAACATGGATTGCAGCATTAGGGGTATGACACATAGCAACAGGACTAATATACTATGATATATATTATCCATAGTGATCAGTGTTACAAAAAATTGTACATTTGTGCATTACTTTGGTGCACTTTAAAAGCAAAATAAAGAGGCTAGATCTTTAAAGAACATTGCACTCATGTTAACAATTTTGTGGCCTACTAAACAATTTGATGATAAACGGACTGCATAGATATAACTGGTGATGAAACAAAAAATAAACTCATTTATTTAATGTTTTTCCAGAAACCCTTAATCAAAGAATAATTTCCATAATGTTTTATTTTACCTTTAATGGACACATGTAACATGTTTAATACTTCCTGTGAATATAATCCAACTAATCTTATTTCCATACTGTATATGTTGTGTTAACACCTTATTTTGAAAACTGGACTTTGTCACACGTGACATCCTCGCGCTACATTCACCAAGTCACCAAGGCACTATGGATCTAAACTCTCTCTAAAATCTCTGTTTTCTATTGAAAGAACATCATCAAACAGTTACATAAAATCACCCAATAACATAACAGCTCCGATAACACAACTCAAAGACAATAATTCAAGATGTCCATAGCAACCACCATAGCAACAATAACATTGCATTGCAACAATTTCCTGCCCAGACCAGAAAGAATCTTCATAAGAAATAACAAAGCAATGATCATATACATACATTCACTGAAAGAAGATTATGAAAATATGTAATATTTTAAGTATTGCATTTTGCCCTGAGAATAACAGGATTGTTTGGTGACGTGGAGAGATGTTTTGTGATATGGATCAATGTAGCTATTACACATTATGATGTGGGACTGGGTTGAGCTCTCCATAAAGCTGAGAGGAACTGCAGAGTGAGTGATAAATCTCTGTGGGTTTTTCACTGTGAACAATTCCTTTCACATTACATATTAAAGCTAAGCTAGAATTATTTATTTGTAGCTCAGCCATTAATTCTATTGGTTATTATTAATTGCTGAGATCTGGGAACAGACATCGTTGTACAATGTTATCATTACTTACAGAACTAATAATCAGGGCTATGAAAATAAAACCCAAGTAGTAAGAAGCTGCAGTTTTCTGACTGGTGGTTAATTACATAACAAGATTGTGGAAATGTTTGAAAAGAAGATTTTCTCTACATGTTTGGCAGTCAGATGGAGAGGTCTGAAAACACAAGAGATACTGCCTCTGGCTTTGGGGAAACCACAATAAAAAATCCATAAAGTCACAGCGTGTATCTGTCAGGACTCTTCCATTCAGTGGAAAACTAACACATTTTGTCAAACATCTCAGTACCATCTCACTCATCACCAAATGATAGAAAACCCCAGCATTCTGTGTGTCAGCCCGAGCTGAGCTGAGCAGTATAACTACATATGACAGCCCATCATGACCCTGCAAATCTCCTGCGTGATCTGTTTCATTGCAAGTTAAAATGTCATGGGTATTATTAAACACCATCATCTGACAATCAATTTTCTTTTCACGTCAAGTCTCTTCTCTCCCACAGAAAATGTTCAGTGAAGGAAACCTGAGAGGCAACATCTGAGCAGTGGGTTTTGTTGGTTTCCAACATGGAATCCTTTATCAGAGTACAGTAGGTTTTTCACTTTAACTATTTGTTCTTTATAAAGCAAGCCAGACCCTTTGAAAGACTTTCATATCTCCATGGAAACTGATTTTGTAAATACATCTAGGTCTGTAATGAGTGTGCACATGTCAAAATTCTTCATAATACTTGTTGGTATAGCAACAGTAGGCAGATGTTAACATCAGTGCTAAATTAATGGTAAAATGAAGTGATTACACAATTATTTAAAACAACTTTGGCCTTATTTCCTTGGTTTTGGATCCATTGAGTCCCATTGATTTTATTCCACACTGATCAACTCTAGATATGCTCGTAATAATGATATCCCACTGCATCTAAAACTCCAGAACATTAAGGTAACTGAGTGTTCATATGATGTCATCCATCACGCCAATCAGCATCAGTGCACACAGCAATCACATGAATTCTCTTCAATGACTGCTTCTCTAGTTAGACACTGTGGCCGTGATACAATAATTACCATATCATTTAAGCACAGCAGGTTCAGGAGAGGTGTTCTGATTGGAAATAAGCAAAGGACAGTCTATTTGATCCTATCTGGAACCAAAATGGCCATTTTTCCATGTAATTGTCATACGAATTTTATGCAGACGTTTGAAACGTTGCAAAAAAGAAAAAAAAAGGTAAATGCGAAATAGGTGCGTTTCCATCAGCTGGAAAAAGCTGATCAGACCTGAGTTACATGTTCGTTACGTCAGAACTTATTTGGCATTTACTCTTTTTCAACAAAGGCAAAACCCACCTCAAGTGAGCATAAAAGCTTTGTTTTCAAATTTTGCCGTTTCCATCAACCTTTTCTAATGTGACACTTCAAAATGTGCATAAAAAATGTTTTTTCAAGAGCACCAAATTAACAGATGTCTCTTGAGTTCCATTTAATATCCTGGGGTTATTTTAATCTCATGTGGACTTTTCATGCAGGTACCTATTTTTTCTGTTTGTAGTACTGGAGTTGACATATTCTGTCTGCCCATGGCTACCACAGGCCCCTGGTAAATTATTAAACAGTGTGGATGACTGACTGATATTACAGACATGTAAGTGGGGGTGGCTGAGGGGGATGAATAGAGGATATACATATAAATGCTGTGGAAGCTTTGAGAGGCATTAAATGTGCGATCCTCGTGTATATTTGAATTATTATCATGCACCAACATAGATGGCAACAAAGACATGGCTCCTGGATTGTTTTGCCTAAAAAGAAAATGAAAGCTCTGAAATGAATTAGCCAGCTCCAAACTGACAATAACACACACACTTACCATCAAACTCAGCAGGGCCCACTCCTACTATGATGATAGACATGGGCAGCGAGGCTGCCTGTGGAGAAAACACAGGAGGGGTATGAGCCAGGCTACCGTACCCCCACTCAAAACTACACACTGTGCATAATATGCCTGAATGTACAGTATATAAACATGCCTGAGTATACTTGGCTATAATAAGAAGAAAATGCTTTTTGGCCATTTCCATTTCTTCACACTGGGTTCTTTGTTTGTCTTGATTCCCCCCCCCCCTTACTGTTGTTCTGCTTTTGTTGTCCTTTCAACAACAAAATGCCATCATGACATATGGAAATATGATGAATCAAGAATCAAGAATGCGTCTTATTGCTCCTGGTTTCTTGCTAACAATGCACACATACATTTTTTTGCCTGTACGAGTATAGATTTCTTTCTCATCTCAACTGTAAATCAACCGGATCTGATCTGAGGCCAGCACTTTCATGCATACTCAGGAACAGTTTCTTCCATGAATCAGACTAAACTGTGGTGTTGTATGCTCGGATGCTGTTTGAATTTTAAGGACTTTAAAACCCAATATATTGCATCATTATATCAGACTGGTTTAATGATATGATGACTTCATCGTAAAGGAAACCAAATGTTCAAGAGGCAAAATATTATTGTCTGAAAGGGGCAACTTGATACAGTTTTATTTGATTATCAAGCATAACCATGAAAGGTGCCTTTGGCAGTTTTGATTTTGAACTACCTGTAAGCATTGATTTCCATGCACCACTTCCAATACCAAAATTAGGTTTTACATAAATGTGTCGTGGAATCTTTTGTTTTAGCCCCGAGCTGGTGAAACGATTGTCTTTTCCTTAAAAATGTTGCCAAGAGCAGCTTTGATTCTGTCTCTGATATTCTGTTCTTTCCTTTTTAGTTCAGATGGAGCTTCTCTGACTGGATGTTGTTCAGAATTTAATTGAGATGTATTTATTATCCAACAGTTTTTTGGACAGTGTTGTGTCTACTCACATTAACCACAGACTCTTTAGTCTGAGCCATGTCTGAGATGACGCCGTCTGTGATCATCAGCAGCACAAAGTACTGGGAGCCATCAGTCACTTCTGCAGCACACCTAACATTATAACACACACACACACACACACACACACACACACACACACACACACACACACACACACACACACACACACAAACAAACAAGTTAACTGATCTGTGTGTGTAGAGTAGTTCAAAGTCACATCACATTTCGGATGAGGAGAAACAAACATCAACAGCAGATTGATTATCTTTTTTTCTTTTTTTTTGCATTTTACTCCCTGACCTTGTGCTCCTGGTCTTTAATGGCTTTCAGGAGCTTCTGCCAGTCCCACCAAGATCTTGGTGCGTTTCTTATGATCAGGGGCATCACCGTAAGGGGACTGACTACCCCACTGGGGGGAGGGCCCTCAAAATGCCTGGAATGAAACGTTTAGGAGTGTTTTGCAATTTTTATTTAAGTAATTAGTGTCAAGTGTCAAAACTAAATTATAATCGGCTCAGTATATCTGTTGGGAGACTGAACTGCATATCCCCAAATTTTGTTTTATTGATATTCAACAATTCAACTGATTCACAAAAAAAACTGTTATGGACTGTGTTTTCTGTCCAGGCCTCTCATTCCAGTTTCGTCAGACCCAGAATCGCCCCTTATCCTTACTCCAACAGTGCCTCTCACTCAGAAGACTGGAGCTGCACCTCCACCCCCAGGCACCTTTGGGAGCAAATCTCTTCTCAAAGAAGAGTGGAAGCAAATCTCAAAGTCTGGCAGAGATCTTTTGGTGTAGGTGGTGACGGGAATACCTGAGCACCTTACAGAGCTGGCACAGGTGGCAAGACAAGAGGCACTACCTCAAAGAGGGGAATGTTGACATGTTAAAAGACAATCAAGCTAGAGAAATGTGTGGCCCATGGCCATTGTCGCAAGGGCCTTACCAAGCTGGGACGGCCTTGTGAGGAGGGTCGAAGTGAAAGTTGTGAAAGAAGGGACACCGAATCTATACTCTCGTCCCATCTCTGAAGTTGTTCTTCTCCTCTCCACAGAAGACTAAACACCAATCAGGATAGTGTGGGGTTTACTGACCCCAGGGCGGGGAGTCTTATGGACTGTGTTTTCTTATGTTCAGAGTGATTTATGCATGGGTTTACTGCCTCCTACTGGCCATTTAAATATCTAAGTGTTATTTCTGAAGTAGGAAGTTGTTGCTTTAGTGATACAGGAAGTTGTTGTGCTGGGTGACCTCGGAAGTTGTTTTCAGCATGCACAAGGGGGTAAGCCAGAGATTGGACAGTGAAGCCGACCAAAGCCTGCGTGGAGGGATCCATGTAGGCCCAAAAATGACATCAAAACCCTGTGACACCCCGTCGCAGATGAGAGATGTAACCGTATTGCTTAGATATTAAGCTCTCTGCAATCTCAAAAAACTATACAGCGATTAGTGACGCTGCGTTGGTGTTTGGCAGGTGAGCCTCGTAGGTGGGCTGATTAATCAGTGACGATCCCTGTCAGACAAACACACTGAGCCATGAGACTTTTTGTTGGTGCAGCTATGCAGCTACCAGAATTACGGTGTTTCTGCCATTGTTCTACGTCATTAAACCACCGTTATACTGTGCGATCATGCGCAGTAGACGTTGGTGCCAACAGGAAGCAGCCCTGTAGTAGTATTTTATTGGTCCAAAACTGGCTTCACTGCTCTCCATTCAAATCAGTCTATGGATTCAGTTCAGATATTTTGGTGCTGACGTAACATCTCTCGCCATCCTCCTTCATATGTCTTGCTAAACGCAATGTCTGTAAGTAATGATGTTTGTATGCATTAACACCGCATGTCTGTTGTTATATTTGTCATGAAGACATTTCTGAAGCTAGTTCATGGCTGTTTATGCTGGCACTGTACTACACACAGATATCATTTAAATGATTTAGCTTTTTAGATATTGAAATGTATTGTTGTATCTGTTTCAGGTTCACAAACTTTATTGATAAACTCCACAAACAACACAGTGTCTCCTGTGGCTTTATTGATGACTGTTTAGCTGGCTGGATAGCTACGGAGTTAGTGAGACCAGTGACAAATAACATTTTCTGTTTTGTTAATGGGCTAATATTAGTGTATTCATTTTAATTTCAGATAACAGTATCCTTTAAAGTTTTACAACTAGTAGTTTAATATTAATTCCAGTTACAGCAGTTCAATTATGGTATGTTCTCATTCATTAAATCCTTGTGCAAGAAAAATGCTCTACGTGGTGGTCAGTCTCTAATTCTTTTTGTAATGCCCCCCCTATCCAGGCTGTGACTGGTTGAAAATTGACATTGATGAGTAACTTTATGCACACGATTAGATAAAAATGCACCTGATCTTCTCCCAATTCTGTCTCCACCGGGTAGAAGAATAGCGGCAGCTTATAAGATGTGCCAGTATGCAAGAAAAAGTCCTGGTACGTCAAAGGAAAAATGTAGAAGTGCCACTATTGAGTACTGTGTTGGGGCATTTTTCATGTTGTTCAGGCGCCATTTGCCACTGTTGACAAGAAATCTGCTGCTCTGTCTCTTGGCTGTTGCTGTGGTGCTAAGGGAAATTATTGAGATGTAGTTTGGATCAATGGTGATGTGTGAGGAGGTTGGGACCTAAAGAGAATGCTCAAAGCAACGCAAAAACGCACACAATGAATGTTGACTGTAAAAAGCAAAAGCCGAATCCCGGACATTTTGGGTGATTTAGAAATCAAGAAGACGCATTTTTTAGGTCCCAAAAAGAGGACATGTCTGGGAAAAAGAGAACGTATGGTCACCCTACACAATGGGCCAATGGAGGACCATGACGTTGCTTTTGGATCTAGATCATAGGCTGTATAAAAAAAGTATACATCACCCATTGGTTTGTGGACAGCTGTTTCAAAGCCTTGAGTTTTGAATTTTGGCCGTTGCCATCATGTTGTTTTGGAACCAGAAGTGACCATATTTGGATGAGAGAGCTAGCTACCTGGGGTTAGTAAATCAACTGGGTGCTCATTTTGGTTAGCGAAAAACAGGCTTCCAACAAAATACTTACTTTCTGTACTTACAGGAAAAAAAAAAACTTAGTGTTTTTTAGTACAACCAAACGCTGAATAAAACATTTTTCAACTTTCATTAACTGAAAACACACTGTGAAAGGGTCAAAGATCGCAGACAAAAACAATGATAGCACCCAAGGTTGCAGTGGTAGCAACTTGTCAATCACAAGGAAGCCAAGTCTTAAAGCATACTGTGGCTGTCCCAGACTAAGGATTTACATAGTTGAATCAAAATTGTCAAGTCTTGCCTATAGTCGACTGATAGTCGAATCACATGTGCGTCTGTGTGGCGGCGATTGCGGAGAGGGGGGGTTACACACAGTAGCTCTGCTTTAAACTTGAGATGTTGCAGAGCTGAAGTCTCTATTTATTAGTCAGTCTAACTTACACTGTACATTTACAGCTAAACTGAGGCTTATTGTTGACCATTTTCTCTCTGCTTGCCAGCCACTCACCGGTCTTGTTTTGCGTGCGTGCCGTGCAGTCGACAACTGCACACATGCACGCACGTCGCAGTCTATTTCAAGTTGCCTACTGTTTAAAAACGCTATAATATTCTTTGTTGGGTTTGTCCAGTGGAGGCCTGGTGGTACGGTGGATAGCGCTGTGGCCTCACAGCCAGAAGGTCATGGGTTCAAACCTCGGTTGCTCAGACTTTCTGTGTGGAGCTTGCCTGTTCTCTGGGTATCTGGCGTTTAATTTATATGGACACTAAATGAGCCGAGTTGAATGGATTTGAAGAAGCATCAGTGTGAAAATGACGGCTGTAGAATGGAGTTTAAGTTATTAGTGCATTCTGCACTGGAATGGATTTGATTGATGACGATCTGAAAGGTGAACAAACAGATGCACTGAATTACAGACAGTAAACACAAGTGCGTCAAATATCATTGGTCTTTTCCCATCCACATACAATGGTTCTGATGCCCATGAAATGTTAGCTTTTAGTAGTGCATGGGGGGAAATTCACTTAGGCCAGACTGAGTTCTTCTGTAGGTTATTACTTAAATGCTACACAGCTGCTCATGTAAATGTGTGATGAAGTAAAACCATGTCTAATTCCTCTCTATATATAATTGGAGTAATGATTACTATATACATGTATGTATGATTGCTTTTATTTTATTATATTTTCATGTGTGTATATCTGTGGGTATATGCTAATGTATAGCATAGCCTACATTTAGACAACAGCCCACATTTCCTTAGACCTGTAGACCACCATTTTCCTGCTTCTCTCTCTCCTAAAATATCTTCAATATCCATCTGGTCAATGAATGGAAGGATATGCAACAGCATTAACAGGGACACTATAACATTTAGTTTTCACTGACAACAACATTCTATGGGGACTTAGGCAAGGATTAAACTTTCCGCGTCTGCGAGGGTCTGCTAGGGTCCATGTGATTAAAAAAGTCGTCATCAGAGGGGGTATGCTAATGTGCAATTTACACTTCTGTCTCAAATCGATGGCGTAGCCTCTGCGTAGCCTCTGCGTAGCCCCTGCGTAGCCCCCTACCCTTAGCTGTCACCTATGGCGTAGCCTGACGTGCACCTTCTCAAAAAGTTAATTACACGTCGAGGCGACGCGGACCGTAAGCTCTGTGATTGGTCGGCTGGGTAGCCTCGCAATGCCTCCGAGCCGACAGGAAGTGCTCTGTGCTTTGAAGTAACTTTTACTAGCAGCCAAAACAGCAGCTGTAACATGGTATATAAAGTATACAATTCGGTCGATAAAATTTGAAAAGGCTACACCAGCCGCACCTTTACAATTTTACCCCCATTCACGTTAGCGGAGGGCTAAACCAGAGGTTAGCCTGCTCGGCTGCGGACACGTTCGCGCTGTAACAAAAAAACGGGAGAGCTATCAGGGCACCAACCAATCTACTGTGCATGTGTGGAACATGTCCACCAAGCTGTCTGCAGAAAGTAGTCCGCGTCTATGGGGTCCACAGCTGTCCGTGTCCGTGTCTGCGTCCGCTCCCGAGAATATTTGAGGCTTTTTATTGTTTT